AGGGGATTGTAGTGCGGTGCACTTTGTGCTTACTGTTGATGAGCTGATAGACTTGAGAGCAAAATAATACAGAAATTTCCCTATGAATTGAACGGGGGTCATTGAACCTCACTGCGTCGGGTCCGACTTTTTGTTGGTCTACTCATCCCAATAGACTACAATTATGTATGGACTTCGATTTACCCAAGTAATCGCAGATAACAGTGTGATCTCCTCAGGACTGTAGCCTCCCGTTGGATGGGTGGCGGGTCGCTATAGTGTTTAAACATGTTTGGAAATTTTCGAAAAAGCTTGGTGACAATCGGTGGATTTATTGCTGGGCAACGTTTCGCTTTTGACGCAAAAGCTTCGTCAGGCCAAGTGACTAGGTTCCGAGGTTGATCGAGATTTAAGGCGGAAGGAGTACCAATCAGCTAAGTCAAGCTAAATCTCTGTTGGGTGTCGGCCGAGAGATTTTAGTGTTGGGTCGGTGGGGAAACCTACATGTGTTTGGGTCCAGCCTAGGGTCTACTTCTTCTGGTTCGGTTTATTTGATGGTTCCTCTTGAACTTCGTTTGAACCTTCTGTCAGTCTGTGTGGGTGAGCTAGTGCTAAGAAAGTTTGGTAAGAGGGATGCTGTGACTTTTGGTCGGTTGGGGTTCCCACCCCTACCCCCCGGTTTTTTCCAATGATCCTAAGTGGATTGACAACCACACCGTCATGTGTCAACTCGGCTTATCTAAGACCACTTTCCATACGCTCGCTAGCTCCAGACCCTCGATTCTATTCACGCTGTGATGCTTAGTGATTCCCACCGCCTCGGCTATCAGCCGTTGTGGTGTGAATCGCAGTCCCCGTCTTAAGACTTCCACATTCTCCAGATCTATGTCCCCTGTCTAAGGCATGTACCGCCATCGCTGAGTCTTTGACCAGCGTTTGGTATTCTTCTGCATTCCTTGGTGGTTAGTTAACCCTTCTTTTATGCTCACCAATTCTGGTGTGCAATTCCCTGGCAGTTTATCCTAAATAAACCTTAGCACAATCGTTGCAGTTAATTTTGTACACACAGTCCCTAGTCCCTTCAGCCGGCAGGGGATCTTTCAATTGCACCAAAACTGTTTGGAAATTCCGTCTACGTCAGAAACAAGGATGTAGACTGTAATTAGCCGTTTGCTTTGGTACGGAAAAACCCAAGACACAAAATTTGAATAGTGGTCACTTTTGGCGCAGCGACCGCCTTTGGAAACATCTAGAGAAGTCCTTGCTGGGAGTTAGGGGGGGGTGATTCTTATGAGGTATGTTTCAAACCATGTCGTCCAGAGAGCTACTGTACATCCTTACATTATCAAGTCCAATGCACGTGATCAGCGATTCTGCGCTTTCGGATAACTACTTGTTAAGAGCCACTGTCACACTACACGTGAACGTTTGACCACTGTATATTATGTTTCCCTAGATCCCCACCCTTACAGTCGACCAACTTTGAGCACGGTGGTCGGCTTTCAGAGTTGGTTAAGTGGACAATAGGGAAATATAAGCTGAATAACCTTCAAGAAGACCAACATTGCAATAGATGGAAAATATAGCCCGATATGTATTTATCTCACCTTGTCGTGATACATTATTTTAGCGCAGGGTACTATACACTATTTCCCTTCAGTCCGTTTTCAAACTGCTCATGTCGATCCCTTCCCGTGACTTCAATTCCAAAGAAATTTTATATTAATAATGAGCTGATGCCATCCACAACACGGCTGATTTGAGGTTTCCCATGGATTATCGATACACACTAAGCCCCAGGACTCAAGAAATCGACAGAACAATCCTTGAATATGTCGCACGTTGGGTTGACTAAAAGTGACCGACAGTAGTAGACCTGATTGGACTGGGATCAAACCAATCGCCAGTCCACTGTATACGAGTCGGTGCTCTGACACAAGTACGCATCAAGTAGTCGTCAAGTCGGACAAATTCTTCACAGTTTGTGCGATCACCTTACACCCGGCAATATATGCCGAAAAAAAGCATTAGAAGGGTCAGTTCTCTAACCACCGACTCTAGGCTGTGTAAAAAATAGTGCGATTTCTACATACCCTCGGTCGCAAATTAATTCTCCCAATCCAAATCGAGCCAGGTGCACCGAGATTGTGTTTACAGCTGGACGCGGTCAAATCTGAACGATCTAGAACTCTTTGCGATTTAAAAGTAACCGCTAACGGTTATCCCTTAGCTCACATAAAGTGCACTAAATACCTCGGGGTTATTTGGTGAGCTTTTCAGGTCATATGGGGGATGTATTACAGGACACCTGTCAGTTGAGTTCTAGTGTCATACGGTTTCTTATTCTGCATACTTTATCCGCAAGCAAGGCTTTCAATATGCTACCGCCTCATCTATGTTGTGTGGTTAACCAGCGAATCTTCGTGAACTTTCCGAAGTTGAAAACGAGCTATTCAACGCTTGTCCAGAGTTATGCGTAGCCTCAGCTTATTGCGTTATGTTTTTGCATGAAAACCTAAACAAGTCAACACATCACGACCTAGACCAATATTCCCAAACTTGGATATCGAACTCCTAAACTGCCTTCCAAGTGGGTCCGGAGTATCCCTGTACACCAGAACATTTAGTCACATAACTCATTGAAGAGGCCGCCCGTTCATCGGATAGACCCCACGATGCTTTGCAAAAAAGGACGTCGCACAACATTCTGGCTGGGTAAACGGACGCTATCTCATGTTATGAGTCCCCATTAAAAAAATTGCAAAACAAGTAGACGCTGCCATTTGAGTGAACAGCCGCTTTCTCCATTGGATAATATCGCATATTTCATGAGCATAAATGATGCACACCCCATTGGTTGCCAAAGTACACAAGCTAGCCAGTCAACACTAGGTTGAGGAACGTCTCAAAGCGCAGCTACGAGGAGGGATGTGAACTTTAAGATACAAAGTAATGCTCCCTCCCTGCCTGCCAATGAACCCTAGAGTATAATGGCAAAAAGCCAGAACGGAAAAGTAAACTAGACAATTCAACAGAATGCCGCCACACTATAATACCCTTAAACGCTATGAGGTAAATGACGCTTAAAGACTCGAGCACTATTTGGTGCACACCGAGGTAATTGCCAGTGTGATTCCTTTAATTGACAGACCAATTGATTGAGAAGCAGATTAGGTCCAATTAAAGGTAACAAGATTTTGGATGAAGCCTGTCTACACCGATGATCGGCTTCTCCGGCGAACGCGAACCCGTAAGATTGGAAACTACAGTTCAGCTAGATGCGGATTACGGATTGCAAGGCCTCTAGGATGATCAATAAAGTAACCAAAGAGGACCTGGAGAGAATCGAAAACTCACACCATATCGCCACCTGCACCGGGGACACTGGACAGTAATAACTGCCCGAATACTAAGAGTTGAGCAGGTGAAGCGAGTAACCCCAGCAGAAACTCGCTTCCTGAAAACAGGGCTGGGTGGTACATTGTCAAACTAGAGGTGGTAACGTGAAACTGCCTTTTTAAGCTTACGAATTTGACAAGACTAATCGTTCAAAGCCATCTGAATGACATGAAGTTCCAGTCGGTGCGCTCAAACAACACCAACGAAAGGTCCACTGCCACCTGGGAAAACCGACGCGTCGCAGGTTTGAGACATAACACCAGTCCAAAGTGGCAGCATACGGCAAATGATGCATCGTCTAGAGTCCTCCGCCAAAAATCACAGCCTACATTCCAGGTTGTGAGGCAATGAAGGATAAATTCTCCACACATCACGAGTAAACTTCACAAAATCACCGAATACCAATAAAAGCAATCAGAATTAGGGAGTGGCTGTAAACGGAAATCAGGAAACTCTAAGCGGTTTCGCCAGAGAAATTGATTTAGATAGCATCCATCGTCGATTCCAGGGGATGAAATGCTAGTTAAACAGGATATCGCACCCTAGACTGATGCAGGCAGCTGCTCACACGAAGCAAGAATACGATTATCGAAAAACTCATAATTTTGTGGGATGTGAGGTACGAGAAACCATACAGTTCCGCTTGATATATGTAGAGAACACAGCAAGCTACTTGTTGACAAAATATTCTGAAAATATCTCTACTACAGTCGTGGCGAGTAGAATCGATCAGGTGAAGTGAATGAGCAGTACACACAGTGAAGTGGACCCTCCCTTCAGAGTTCCGAAAAACCCGAACCACAACGGATCGCTTCTTGTTGCCTATCGCGCAACCGACGCAGGCTGTAGAACATTATCTTCAGACGGTGATACAACATATCCAGTGGTGCCATTATTCAATCCCTAAACCAGTAGCTCCTCGATACCGTGTTAATTCATTGACCGAAACTGATCTCCTCGGGGTCGTAACATTGGTTTCTGAATGCTGCGGCAGCCCAATAAATAGGATTGTAATGTAAGATACTGACAAGCCAGTCAGGCTAGCTTTCTGAATTTTTCACCAGTTGATTAGATAGCTGGTCTGCTCATTCAAGTAGAACATAAGGTTGACAGGAACTTGGGAACTGCGCCTACCTGATGAGCCGCAAGAACGGCGAAACCGATTGTGGACAGTCGAAGAGCTTTCAGCAACATTGTGAGTAACTTACTTTATGGAAACATACTACCGCATCTTGAATATCGTACTAAATGGGATATGCGGCGGCCTTTGCACAGCACATTCAGTTGGAGAATACCATAAACGATAGATTCATTGAGTCTTTCCTGGAAACCGAATTGATATGCAAATGAGTGTGTTTGTATTTCTCTTTTCAGGCAATCCTTAGAATTCTGTGCCCATAGCTGGCCAGGAATGTGTATGATTTCATTTGTACGGAGGATGTTTACTTACTTTTCGTATGATGGCGATTCCAATGGGTGGAGTACTACCCGCTGTATTCTGCGGTTTTGGTCAAGCCATGCAATACCCCACTTGAGTCACATGAACCAGAGAGCAAGCCCTGTTTGGCATTCACCTTAGCTTCCACCCAGGAACACTTATGTTATTCAAACACTCACGGCGCGAGAGGTGTGTCAAGTGAACTAGTTTGTACCACTTACGTCTTAGTAAACGAGGTTAGTGAAACCCCGAGCCATGACAGGCATACATTCGGTAAACGCAGTTCAATTAAGGGATATCAATGACGAGTCACTTATTCATACAGATCCAGGGGACAAAGCGGTTTTAGTCGGAGTTTTCTTCTGTATGAGTTCGAAGCCTCGAAGGTGTTTTCTCAGAGGCACTGTGTTGAACAAGAGGATTTTCCAGCTTCTGAGGTCACACTGAAACAGTTTTAGATAGGATGACATGAAGTCAAGCTTGATTGAACCGACGGTAGAAACGCCATGCGCATTTCCCCTTAAGGTTCATCAACAAGCATTTCACATCGGTGGGATGGTAAGTGCTCTATAGGGAAGATTCCCGTCCAGCAATTTTCGCCTATGGTGTCGTGGAATATATTAGTCCGCCGGAAGAACTTCTTCCCAGCATGTATTGTAAGTTGAAGCGTTGAAAAATCGAAGGCCTTATGAAACCCGTACCTGGTGAAAATTGAACCAAAACAAACTGGCTCCCCGGAATTTGGAATGCCCACCGGTGTGATCTGGTTAGCATTTCTTGCCGGACGTTGATCCTATTGCGAAACCAACACGGGAAAGGGGATCGGACCTCCACTCGAGGGTATAACAAATTATGCAAATGCTGGTGGGAGACTTCGCAAAAGTGGCCTACGAAGCGGGAAGTAAAATTTCCGTCTGGTCAATAAGTAACTTGAAAAGAGATGACAGAGTTCAGGAATAGGTGGTACAAGGAAAAACCTGAATGTACAAGCGATGCATGTGGACACCACACTAGGTAAAAAGTGCTTTCAAGGAAATCACAACAATGGGATCCCCGGTGTACAGTAAAATGCAAGAGGGACCTCAGATAATTTCAGAGGCATCAAGGCGCTGCTTCGGATGGTTTCGCTGGTGAATGAATCTCCTTGGCCAATTCAAGCAACTGCTCCAACTGTGCCTCGTTAAAATACTTTAGCTGAGATTCATCCAACACTTTACCAAGGTAGACGCATTCTTTGGAGTCTGAGCGCGGAAGGTTACGGACCTGTTTTGACAGTTCGATGGCATAACGCTGAGAACCGTAAAGAATTTGACATACGTTACGAGAAAGTGAAGTGAGTAGAGCGGCTGTATAAAAGAAACGTTCCCAGTAACATTGTTGCGAATAAATCCGATAATCCCATCCTGATTCGCATACAATCAACAATTCATCGAGGTTATATATCGTTGTGGATTAATGGCGGCGAACCATTACCCAACAGGTTCGTTTGTAACATTTCAGACTGCACGTCACTGCCAAATTGTTACGGCGTTTTAAGAAAGTTCTATTGTGAAAATAATTCAGTCCATAACTGATGATAGGCATCCTAAAAGCATTCAAGGAATCGAAAACTAAAATAACCTGTCAGACAATCTGGACAGAAAGAGATACACGGAGAGCAAAAGGTGAGGAACCAACTTGTAGAACACGATACTTGTCTCAGTCAACGAAATGACCTAAACCTACTAGGACAGAACCGCAACGCGAAACAGAACAGATAAAAGTGACTATATTCGAGAAATACACTCATTTGCAAATCAATTTGGTTTTCACGAGAGACTCAACTGAGTCTGTCAGTTGTAGAATATCATAAACGAGAGATTCAGTTGGGTCAAAGCTCCGAGGAAAACAACTCTTAACACATTTGGGTGGTCAAGCTCCGTGGGAAGATGCAAGATTCTATAATGATGTTACAAACATTGTGTGAAACCATTAGTGCACAGTAGAAAAAGGGAATCAAACCTACAACAGAAAGGGTAAATCCACACGCATGCCTGAAACAGCATGTCCTAGAATGAGTGTTGGGTACACAGAACAGAAATCTGCCCGTACACAGAGAAGCTAATCAGAATGTCACAGATTGGTCGCACAAGTTTCAGTAACGCGAAAACATATTTTGCAGACCCCTAAATTAAAAAAGTTTCATAAATATCAGCCAAATCCATTTATAATTGGTTAGGTAGGCTTCGGGGAATGCGTAGAATGTACAACAAATAAAATTTATTCAGTAGTGACAAGACTGGATTATACTACCGATACGTGCCGAACAGAAGCCTGTGTGTGGGAATTCAATCGGCATCCGAATAAAACAAAGAAACAAATAACCATGTCCCTAATTGGAAAAGAAAGGTTATCAATGGTCATCGGTGGGAGCAACAGTCCAGGGTCTTAGCGTTAAGATAAGACGAAGAAAGCTTGTAACCCGTTCTTTCAAACCAAAGGACGGTTCAATTTCCGTCAATGAATTTTGAAATGACACATCATCATCAGAGACAGTGACAGCATTGTTGACACTGATGTTTCACTGTTGTACCACCATAAGGCGGCGGTTACGTAAGGTGATTGCATGTTACCCATGACACCTATCTGTCAAGAGATTCACTAGAAGCGCGTGTCGAAACTGGTAATTCGGAACGTTACGATCATCTTGAGCCCTACGCCATCACAGAAAAAAGATACAGACGTCACGAGATAAAATCTCTGGACGCATGAAACGCCCCTGTTACGTCACGGCACACTACCGTACTGTACCAGAACCATAAACTCCTAGAGTGGTACCGTACCGCTGATGTCTTAATTCACGGTTTCCATAAGATCCACAGAAAATTGGAGGCTCCGTTTATGGGCCGTGACGAAGAGACTGGACCTTACCGTGGTGTGACGGTTTGCGCACCTCAGCGATCCATTGAGCTATACTGGAGAGTGTCGTGAGACACTCACAGAGTCTCTCATACCAGGTTGGTCAATGGTTAGAGGTCTGACGAACACAGTCTCCTGGCCATCCAGGTTGGGGGTTGGAACATGTGGCGACTTGTTCCATGGAAATGGTAATGCATTTGCATTTTCCGCCAAACACCGCCGCCTTGTGGTTAGGCTTTTGAGCCTAAGGCATTAGTTGAGGACCCTAATCGTCCTTCTGCCTAGGTATGGGCGCCCTGGCAGTATCCCAGCCCACGTACAACCATGAATTGCACATACACAAATAAACTCATGCCACATCGGCCGTCGCGTGGTG